CGACCCCCCCCCCCGGGAGAGGTCTGGGGAGTAGGGGTATCGGTAATTTTTGAGTCCCACAAACGTAAGCTTTCGGAGCTTCGCGCGGATTTCTGGAATCTGCGCTGGCCCCCCCCCCTCCGCCTCTTTCTCCTCCTCTTCCTCCTCCTCTGCCTTCTCTTCCTCCCACCCTCTTCCCACCCTCCTCCCACCCTCACTCCCTCCATCCCTTCCTCCCTCCCTCCCTCGCTCCTCCTCCTCTTCCTCCTCCTCCATTCCTTCTCTTTATAGATAACTCCTCCCTGTCGCACCCCGAGGCTAGTTTTTAGGGCGGGCCAGGCGTTTCTCCTGAGACTTCCCCACCAATTATGATTCTGAAGCTTAAGAAGTGACAACAGCTTCACATATGGAGGGCGGGTGGTTTTCAAAATGTGGTTCTCGCCCTAGCGCCGCGGACATTCGTTTTGAACACTTGCAAGAGTTTCACGCATTGAGGGCGGGTGGTCTTGTAAACATGTGGCTCTCGCCTTAGCGCCGCGCACAGTCGTTTTGAACATTTGCAACAGTTTCACGGATTGAGGGCTGGTGATTTTCAAAATGTGTCTCTCGCCTCAGCGCCGCGCACATTCGTTGTAAACAGTTGCAGGAGTTTCAAGGATTGAGGGCGGGTGGTTTTTAAAATGTTGCTCTCGCTTTAGCGTCGCGCACATTCGTTTCAACAACTTGCAAGAATTTCCAGGATTGAGGGCGGTTCCTTTTCAACATGTGGCTCTCGCCTTAGCGCCGCGCATATTCGTCTTTAAGATTTGCAAGAGTTTCGCGCAATCCCATGATCAACGTACCAGAAATGGTGTTTTGGAAGGGTTTATGTGGGCGGAACAGTTCTGTTGATTCGCTGTGCTGAAGTCCCAAAAATGGCGTTCTGGCACGATTCTGGATCGTCAAGACGCAGCAGTCAGGTTGATACGTGGCGTTGAAATGCCGTTTGGCACGCGTCAGGATCTTCAAGCTGTCGTCTTCCAACGAGGCAGTTCCATCAATGGAAATGATCCGTTATAGGGGCCTATGAAGAGGGAGTTTGGAGGGAGAGTTAATTCCAACATCGTTGATGACTCCTGGGTTTCCACTGGTCCTCCTCCTCTTCCTCCTCCTCCTCCTCCGCCTTCTCCTCCTCCCACCCTCCTCCCACCCTCCATCCCTCTATCACTCTCTCCATCCCTCACTCCCGCCTCCCCTCCCTTGCTCCTCCTCCTCCTCTTTCTCCTCCTCCTCCTCTTCCTCCTCCTCCTCCTCCTCCTTCTCCTCCTCCTCCTCAAGCCGCAGCCCTGGCACCCGCCGACCTTTGCAGCGGGTGTCCACCAGGACTAGGCGTGTGAGGGTTGTCCAGCCGTCCCCGACACACGCTTAAATCCTCCCACAATTAATGCCGCTGTGCATCGGCATCTTAGGGCTCTGTCATCCAGCCGAGAGAGGGAGGGGGAGGGGAGGAAAAAGCCGGACAGGGGGAGAACGGGGGACGGGTGGCGGATGCTTTGGAGTGTCGTCGTCGTCGTCGTCGTGGTCGGCCCCTTTCGTCGCTGCCGCCACTGCTGCTGCTGCTGCTGCTGCTGCTGCTGCTGAAACTGCTGCTGTTGCATCTACACTGCTGCAGCTCCTACATCTTCTGCTGCTGCTGATGATGATTGGCAGGCGCCCCGAGCCCACCCGCTGCTATCATCGCGCACGCTCTGTTGGGAAATGGCTCGCCTCTGCGGCGGCAGGCTCCTTGGCCCGGAGGGCCCTCACTGGCCGAGCGCACCGAGCATTAACGCCGCGTTCCCAATCTGGAGGTGCGTGCTCAGCTGCTGCCACGCGAAACGAATGACCTCCGTTCGGCGGGCAGGGGCCAAGTCGTGCGCCCACGATCGTACGTATGCCACAGTCTCTTCGCCAGGCCGCCCACCAGCCTCGAAGACGACAGGGACCAGCTCCCCTCCGTGCGGCGGGTGCCGCAGCTGCTTGACATCGGCTGCGTTCCGAGCCGCGAGGTCGTCTCGTCCCGGCACGGGCCTGCTGGCGCGACATGTCGTCGCTGTGTGCGCAGGTCACGCGAACGTCCAAGAAAACTGGCTGCCCCGAAATGGCGTCACGGGTGGCCACGACCAGTCTCGGCTCCTCCAACGCCCCCGTGTGTCTGCCCATTACTCTCAGAGGCGACTGTTCGAGGGGCGACAAGAGGCTGTAAGATGTGAATCGTGCGGCGATGAAGGTACAGAGTGCGGTGACGGTTGGAGTAACGGTCAGAGTGCAGTCACATGTCATACCTCAGCTGTTTTGAGTTTAGATTTGATCATTTGGTGTCGTCTTGGGGCCCTCCTAGTCTCACCCTCTCCCCCTGCTCTTCGGCCACAAGCGGCCTCGGCGACTCCTTGCGCTGTGTTGACTCCATCACCCCGCCACTCCGGCCACCCTGGCCCGCTCTTGCCTTCCCCCACCTCCGCTCGTTTCGACAAAATCCTTGGCATCGCTCGGACGTGTGCATAATTTCCTCGAGCATCTTGGAGCATCCAGCGAAAAAAGAAGCGCGCAACATCGAACAATGCACGGGGAGTGGACGTCCGAGCGATGGCGAGAACAACGACGGTACGTTTCTTGGAATTCTCGGCCTCCCAGTGCCCTCACTGGGCCCCATGTCCGTCAAAGAGGCACGAGGCGAACATCCGGTCCAGTGCAAGGGGTCCCGATCTCTGCGGGTCCACGGTGCGACAAGACTGCAGAAGGTCGGAGTTCCAGGTTCGTGCGCCTTCCTCCCCCGACCCCCCCCCCCAAGGAGGAGGAGGAGGAGGAGGAGGAGGAGGAGGAGGAGGAGGAGGAGGAGGAGGAGGAGGAGGAGGAGAGGAGGAGGAGGAGGAGGAGGAGGAGGAGGAGGAGGAGGAGGAGGAGGAGGAGGAGGAGGAGGAGGAGGAGGAGGAGGAGGAGGAGGAGAGAGGAGGAGGAGGGAGGAGGAGGAGGAGGAGGAGGAGAGGAGAGGAGGAGGAGGAGGAAGGAGGAGGAGGAGGAGGAGGGGAGGAGAGAGGAGGAGGGAGGGGGTCTCTCTGGGGGTCTTCGCTGCCGTCTTCGTCCCTCCCGCCCAAGGGGGGCGCTCCTGGAGACGCAGGCGCCGGAGGCGCAGCCCCAGACGCCACCTACGTGAAGGTGTGGGTCGGCCAGGCGCCGCCCTGTTTGCACGCGCCTCTCGGGCCCGCCCCGCCGTCGACGCTGCGCCCGGGCTCTCTGGCAGCTTGCCTCCTCGGCTGCCCTCTGGTTCTGTGTTCGTCAGGGAGGTCTTTCGCGGATGTTGCGTGCATGTGCCGGCCTGCTGTTGGCTCTGGCGATTGGCGGAGGGGGTTCAGGTTAGCGCAGTTGTCGTTTGTAGCCAGGCTGAGGTAGAGGCCCCGTTGGGCTACCTGGCAAGGCCCATCCTCGGGCCTGGTCCCATGTCCAGTCCAATGGCGTAGTTGCCGCCCTCCTGGGCGAGCCTTTCTGTTGTCGATAGGCAGAGATGGTAGAGGACCCCCACCTGCAGCCCAGGTGCAGTGGGCCGGAGACAGCGGCGCTGTCCTCTGCTTGGAGCAGGTCTACGGCGCTTCCTCTAGCCAGGAATCATGTGTGGGATGGGAGCGTATTCCTCATTCAATGCTCGCTAACAGGGGCATGATGTTGGCGTCATTCGTGTGAGAGAGGGAGAGAGAGAGAGAGCGAGCCGTGCACGTCCGGGGTGCATTCGTGTGCTGACGACGACTATGCGATGGCCGTATTTCTGTAAGGGCGATCATGGCGACGGTGACGGCGATTACGATGTCGATGACGAGGGTGGTGGTGCTGTTGACGGTGATGATGTGAGGATGTCGGCGACGATGGCTTCTGGATGGTGCTGCAGTGGTGAAGAGCAGCTTCCTGCCTGCTCCCACAGGCTGTGCCTCCGCCCCGCCCCACGGTCTCCCCTTGGTCGGTAACTGGAACATATACATTACCAGTGGCGGGCTGTTTTTTCAATCCTCGCTCCCTGTCTCCCCGATTAGTGCTTTGCGCGCCCCGCCTAGCTCTTAACCGGAAGAGGCCCGCTCTCGACCCGCAGGCCAAAAACTGTTTTTTCAATCCCACAACTTTTTGAGGGTCGGGGGCGACGTTGGGGTGTTGTGGTGTATACCCTTCCCCCGATTTTCCCCGGGAAGCAACGAAAAATGTATGCACCAGGATCCCGTATGCGCCAGGATCCGCGTTCTTGTGCGAATTTCAGCGCAGGGTCGGAAAAAGCGTCGGTGTATAGAGTTCGTTTTCCCTCTTGTCCTCGTATCCCCCCCCGCCCGTTTCTGCCTTGGCCCACCTGGTCCTTCTGCTCCTCTTGCCGTGGGCGCCCCTGCGTACAGGGGAAGGTTTGCATGCCTCAATGCTCTTTGGCCCTCTGCCGGAAAACCGAGCGCATCGGAGGGCGGGATGGTGCTGATGTTGGGTAGCAGTCACACGTAGTGCGCGGTTGCTGACGACGGCGATGACGGGACGATGAGGGCGAGCCAAAGTCTTAGGAAACGGCGCGCGCCTGGCGGGTGGAGTCGCAGGCCATTGGGCAGTGGGGGGGCTTCCCGCTTTTGCAGCGTCCGCCTTCGACGTCTTCACACATGAGTGGCTCATGGCGGGTTCCTAGAAAGGCTTCATTTGGTTTCAGCGCATTTCTTGCCTTGTGGTTGGCCAGACACAGTAGGTGCGGGCCCGCCGTACCACCCCTGAGAGGCCCGATGGGGTTACTCGAAGGGGTCCCCCGACGTGGGGGGCGCGGGAACTTAAGTCCTTGGGCAGCGGGGCCTCCGCTGCTTGCGGCGGCCAAGTGGGGGTGGTGCCGGTGGCCGTGTCTCGGGGTGGCATCTCGAGGCACCTCGCAATTGCGGCGCGGATGACGCCTGGGGCGGGTCCGTGCCGCCGTTCGTGTTGCGAGGTCCGACTGCATGTGAATTCATGCAGGCACATTGGGCACCTCCCATCGGGTTGTGTCGCCCAGGTGTCATGTCCGGGCGAAGCAAAAGGTTTCAGCGCATTTCCCGCTACGGTTCCTCGCGGGCCCAACTTCGCAATCGTCTCGTGGCGTTCGTAAGCCCGCAGGTATTAGACCAGGTTCCCAGCGGTTTCCGCGAGGTCTCTGCAGGATGCCTTGGTTTCCACATTCGTTTGGATCGTCGTGCAACGCGCGTCCACGATCACTGCGACGTGGAGACTCCGTGCCGCGAACTCGCAGCATGCGTCAATGTATCGCGTGTGCGCATGGGTGGCTGCCCTGCCAAGGGAGCCGTGGATCTGGTGGTATGTAAAGCACGGGCAGAGCATCCTCAATGTCGTCTGCGCAGCGGTCGCTTGCCGCGGCGCCGTTCCCATCACCAGCGCCACCTTCGCGATGGCCACCGCCGTTCCCTTCTCCGTCCAAGTCGTCGTCGCAGCGATTACTTCGTTCATTGATATTTGTGCAACCTCCCCTGCCGCAGCAGTATGTCTTTCAGCCAGGCTTGAGGTGTGTGGCGGCACTTGTATTTGATCGCCAGCTGTTGAATCGTGTGGTCCGCTCCCGTCTTCTCCATCCTCCACTTGCCCTGGTGAAGGACCCAACCATGTGCAAATATGAGTACCGTGTTGTGGGCACCGCTTTCGGTGGAGCTCCCTACGGGACTTCGAAGCGTGTGATGGGTATGCCCAAATGGGCGAGGAACTCCATGTGGACCGTGCCACTGGGGTCTTCGGTGGAGCTCCCCGTGGGGCCAACAAGCGTGTGAGGGTATGCCCAAATGGGCGGAGGACTGCACGTGAACCCTGCCACTTGGGCTTTTGGTGGAGCTCGCTATGGGGCACGTGTGAGGGGTGTGCCGAACTGGGTGGGGAACCGCATGTGGATGCTGCCACTGGTGCCTTCGGTGGGGCTCCCTGTGGGTCTACGAAGCGTATGAAGGGTGTACCCGCATTGGCGGGGAACCGGATATGGACTTCGCCACTGGGGCTTTTGGTGGAGCTCCCCGTGGGGCCACGAAACGTGTGAGGGGTGTGCCCACATGGGTAGGGAACAGCATGCGGATCCTGCCACAGGGGCCTTCGGTGGAGCTCCCCGTAGAGCTCCCTGTGGAGTTCCTGTTCGGCTTTTCTCTTCTTCCTCGTTTCCCTCCCCGCTCCCTTCACTCCTCGGCTTGGGCGTTCTCCGGCAATGGCCGCCTTTGCCACACGTCCTGGGTATCACTCACAGGGCCACAGGTGCCGCCATCAGCTGGCCAATCAATCAATCAATCAATCAATCAATCAATCCCTGTGGGGCCATAAAACGTGTCAGAGGTCAGATGTGTGCCGAAATCGGCGGGGAATCGCATGTAGACCCTGCCACTGGGGCCTTCGATGGAGCTCCCTATGAGGCAACAAAACTGGGGTCTTCGGTGGAGCTCCTTGTGGGACACGAAGAGTGTGAGGGGTGCGCTCAAACGGACGGGGAACCACCACTTGGGCCGTCAGTGGAGCCCCCTATGGGGCCACCGCGCGTCTGAGGGGTGTGCCGACATGGGTGGGGAACCGCACGTGGACTTTGCCACTGGGGCCTTAGGTGGAGCTGTGGCCACGGAACGTGTGACGGGTGTGTCGAAATGGGCGGGGAGCCGCTTGTGGACTTTGCCACTGGGGCCATCAGTGGAGTGGGAGGAGGGAGGAACGCGGAGCGCTGTCTCCTCAAAACGAGGACCCAACACTACAGGATGGTCGGGGGAACAATTACGTTCATCAGTATTCAGGAAACGCCACGCGCAAGTTGAAAGACGCACGCTTCGGACATGGGGGAAGGTTTGTGCTGTCAGTTCCGCGTTTGCCGTCTGCCGGGAGGCCGAACGCATCGAGGGGTGGCGACGGCGCAGGTCATCGGTAGGGGCCATAGTCTGGGGGAGCGCAGTATGGAGATAGCAGCGGTGCTTGGTAGCAGCAACTGCTGCTACCAATCAGCAGCATGAAGATAGCAGTATGAAGATAGCAGTGAAGACAGCAATCTGAGGATTGCAGTGAAGACAGCAGTGCCGATGGCAGTATGAAGATAGCAGCTGCTTGGCCACGGAGATGGCAGGGGCGACGGGCCCGGCGGGCGGAGTCGCAGACCCTCGGGCAGGGGGGGGGGGGCTTCCCCACCTCGGCAGCTTCGGCGGTGGACGTTCCAGACGCCAGCGGCTTCTGGAGCGGTTCTGGGCTGTTTCTGAACAGATTTTCGCTGACGTCCGCGCATTTTTTCGCTACGCTTCCCGGCGAGACCAGCGTTGCACACCTGGCTTTGCCTTCGAAGGCCTCTGCCCATGCTCCCAGCGGTTCCCTCCAGGTCTCCGCAGGGTTCCGCGGTTTCCGCAGGTGCTTGAAGCGCCGCGCAGCGCGCGTCACCAGCCAGTGCACCGCGAAGACTCCGTGCCGAAATCGGGAAACACGCGTCAATGCATCGAGTATGCGCAGGGCTGGCCGCATTGCTAAGTACGCCTTGAACCTCGGACGTTGGAACGCATTGACTTTCGCGAAAAATGTTATGGTTGCCATCTGCGCGTTGACCATCAGTTGCGCCGCAGTTATCGTCATTCACGCCATTTTCGCGATCGCTATTGGCGCCCATGCCGCCATCATGATCACTATCACAGCGATCACTACGTTCATATGTATCAACAGGCCACCTCAAAGATGAAAGAACCAGCTTTCCCTGTCCATTGAGTTTGGCCCTGCTTGTTCTTCGTCCTTATAGTCCTTCTCCTTGTCCTTGTCGTCCTTCCTTCCACCTAGGAACTTCCAGCCCTACGACCCTCGTCGTTGTCCTCTCTCGTTTTTTGTCGCGCTTGGCATCCCTCGTATTCTCCCTCCTGCCTCTTACTCTCTACGGGTGGAGGCGGAATCTATCTCTCCTCTTCCCACTCTCCGCCCTGGCACATGCTACGCATTTCCACGAGTTGAAATCAGTTAGAGTTTCCTCTCCGCTTCGCATGCTTTGCGCTGGGAGAGATTGTCGGCTTCCAGGAGCTGCCAGTGCCTAGCACCCTGTATCTTCCGCTGGACGCCGCGGAGGAGGGGCTTGGAGCATTGGAGCGTTTATGATCTTCGAACCTCTTCCTCCTGTTCTCCACCATGCTCCAACTCTTGCTTATGCTTCCGCTTTTCATGTGGCCGCCCTACTCGAATGGAGCATGCAAAGCCAGCCAGGGAGTTTGCGTCAAAACGAGGGGGCAGAGATCGAAGAAGTTGGCGGGATATAGCCATGCCTGACCGCACGGCAAATCAAGCACCCAACCTACCAACGCGTACAGTCAGACTGCACGATTTGTTTTCGATCTAGGGATGATCCCTCCGCCGCGCAGTGACGAGTGAAGGAAGTAGTCGAACTGACTGAACTGCTACAGTAAATCAGGCCAGGGCCTGCCACAACCCATCGAATTGAATCGAATGCCTGGACGCAAGGTGCACAAGTGGGGCCCTGCGCATTGTGCAGTATCTCCTGTACAATGCAGTCTTGTCTGCGTGGGCCATTTTTTGTTGTGTTTTTTGGAGCGTGAGCAACGCTCCCTGCGGCTCCTGAGGTGAGGAGGAGGAGGAGTAGGAGGGGGAGGAGGAGGAGGAGGAGGAGGAGGAAGAGGAGGAGGAGGAGGAAAGCAGTCGCACAGAAGCCACTGACATTATTGTTGTGCCTGTAGCCACTTGAGGTCAGACGGAGCTGGGTCGGTCGGAGGAACGCGCCTCAGCCACGGACCCCGATGCTTGGCCCGGCGCGGACCTCTGCGACGAGCGCACGTCAGAGGTGGAGGAAGAGGAAGAGGTGGATGATGATGATGATGATGATGATGATGATGATGATGATGATGATGATGATGATGATGATGATGATGATGAAGACGTTGATGATGATCAGGAGGAGGAGGAGGAGGAGGGGGAAAGGAGAGGGAGGGAGGGAGGGATGATGATGGTGACAATGATGATGATTATGATGATGCTGCTGATGAGGATGATGATGATGGTGAAGATGACGACGATGATGATGATGCTGATGATGAGGATTCTGGTAATGCTGGTGCTGATGCTGGTGCTATTGCTGATGCTGATGCTGATGCTACTGCTGATGCTGCTGCTGATGATGAAGATGATGATGGTGGGTTGTGGTGGTGGTGATGATAAGGAGGAGGAGGCGGATGATGAGGAGGAGGATTCGGAGGATGAGGAGGATGAGGATGAGGAATTTGAAGATGAAGAGGAAGAGGAAGAGGAATAGGAGGAGGAGCAGGAGGAGGAGGATGATGATGAGGAGGAGGAGGAGGGGGAAGAAGAGGAGGATCAGTGTAAACCCAAGAGTCATCATCGATGTTGGAATAAACTCTCCCTCCAAGCTCCCTCTTCATAGGCCCCTACACACGGAGGGAGCTGCCTCGGTAGAAGGCAACTGTTTGAAGTACCCCGAAGAATGCCAAACATTGTTCTCGGGATTCCAACGCCACGGATCAACCTGACTTGCGTCTTGACGACCCTGAATCGTGCCAGAACGACATTCCTGGGACTTCAACACCGCGAACCAACGTAGCTGTTGCACCCTCAAAATCCGGAATCCTTCCAACACGCCATTTCTTGTACGCTGATTATGAGGATCCGTGAAATCCTTGCAACTGTTAAAGACGAATGTGCGCGGCGCTGAGGCGAGAGCCACATTTTGAAAAGGAACCGCCCTCGATCCGTGAAACTCTTACAACTGTCAAAGACGAAAGTGCGCGGCGCTAAGGCGATAGCCGCATTTTGAAACAATTCGCCCTCAATCGGTGAAACTCTGGCAATTTTCCCCATATCCTCAGGATATGGGTTTTTGTTATTACGCAGACCGCGCGGAACACAGGAAGAAAGGAAGGAAGGAAGAAGGAAGAAAGGAACGCACCTCCCACCCTCAGGTAATCATTCTTTCTCTGACCCACTCACATGTAGACTCACTCATATTCAGACTCATTCATTCTCATATGCATTAGTTCTGATATTACTGATACTCGGATTTCTCATGCTCGGGATCACTCATATCCAGATTCACTAGCACTTCGAGTCGCTTCTCATATTCAAGGTTCATCACACTTACGTCACCCACACACAATCACACTCACACTCACTCAGACTCATACTCGGACTCACTCACACCCAGACTCACTCACACTAAGACTCACTCATACTCTGCTTCGCTCTTCCCCACTAAGACTCAGCCACACCACTTCCGCGCTCAGACTCAGACACACGTTGTGATGATGTCTCAGGCGAGGCGCTGGTTTCAGCACTCCCAGGGGGGGCTGTCAGGGGGTATCTCACGGGCCCGTTCGCGCCCAGATTGGGGGGGATGTCTCAGGCGGTTTGCCTGTTTCGGTGCTCAACATCCTTTTCTTTCGGAGCAGTTCCCGAGGATGTCTCAGTTGAGGCGCTGGTTTCAACACTCCCAGGGGGGGCCGCCAGGGGGTATCTCACGGGCCCGTTCGCGCCCAGATTGGGGGGATGTCTCAGGCGGTTTGCTTGTTTCGGTGCTCAACATCCTTCTCTTTCGGAGCAGTTCCCGAGGATGTCTCAGTCGAGGTGCTGGTTTCAGCACTCCCGGGGGTGTATCTCACGGGCCCGTTCGCGCCCAGATTGGGGGGATGTCTCAGGCGGTTTGTCTGTTTGTGCTCAACATCCTTCTCGTTCGGAGCAGTTTCCGAGGATGTCTCAGGCGAGGCGCTGGTTTCAGCACTCCCAAAGGGGGGCCGCCAGGGGGTATCTCACGGGCCCGTTCGCGCCCAGATTGGGGGGGATGTCTCAGGCGGTTTGCCTGTTTGGATGCTCAACATTCTTCTCTTTCGGAGCAGTTTCCGAGGATGTCTCAGGCGAGATATTGGTCTCCCAAGGGAGGCCGCCAGGGGGTATCTCATGGGCCCGTTCGCGCCCATATTGGGGGGATGTCTCAGGCGGTTTGCTTGTTTGGGTGCTTAACATCCTTCTCTATCGGAACAGTTTTCGGCGCTCTGATATGTGTTCAGAGGAAAAGAAGGAGAAAGAGGAGGATGACAATGAGGATGATGATGATGATGATGATGATGATGATGATGATGATGATGATGATGATGATGATGATGATGATGATGATGATGATGATGATGATGATGATAATGAGGAGGAGGAGGAGGAACCCATAAGGAAGCAACTACTCAAAGTCGTCGTAGTCGTCGGCGTCTCTCTCGGCTACGTCTTCCACATGAATTCGCGGGCACTCACATATTGAAAAGGACAATGCCTTCTACCGGAGCATGCCATCACTATGACATGCACATATGGGGATCTCCGCGTCGAGCCATTTAGAACGGAAGCTTCGCGTCGCTCCGGCGAGAGCAACATTTTGAAAACCACCCGCCCTCCATTTGTGAAATTGTTACCAATTTATAAGCTTCAGGGTCATGAGTGATGAGGAAGTCTCAGGCGAAAAGCCCGGCCCGCAATGAAAAAGTGGCCTCGGGGTGCGACAGGGAGAAGTTATTGATAAGGAAAAGGAAAGGAGGAAGAGGGAGGGAGGAGGAGGAGGAGGAGGAGGAGGAGGGGGAGGAGGAGGAGGAGGAGGAGGAGGAGGAGGAGGAGGAGTAGGAGGAGGAGGAGAAAATGGAGGAGGAGGATGAGGAGGAGGAGGTGGCGGAGGAGGAGGAGGATGTGTGTGTGAAGTCCACTCATATCACCATTCTATCATCACATACCGCTAACCTATCGGCTCGGGTATTGGTGCACATACCGCGCTGCTCACCGCGCAGCGCCCAGGAAGAGGAGTAGTTCACCTCTTCCTCCTTCGCCTCTACCAACGGACACTTGTATACGATCGAATCCTTGGTCGCATCCCTATACGCACAGGTTACCAGCCTATTCTTTTACGCTCTTCGCCGCTGCGCCTCGCGTCATCGTTGACCCCGCCGCATGGTTCTGCACCCCTCGGGGCGCAGTGCCTCTATGCTTGCGGCGTCCTCGACGGCGCGTGGGCGTGGCGACGCCACGGAGAGGGCGAGAGAATCCATGATACTTATTTCCCCCCTGTCAGGCGACGGTAGTTCCGCGTCGCTTGCGGCTGCTCTCGGCGAGCTCCTACCCGATTCACCGCTGCCGCCGCCCGCGCGCGCTCACACGCCTGGGAACTCCTGTATTGTCTCGGCGCCTGATACGTCCACTGGACCGTTTCCTGGCGCCGCCTTTGATCGTTCTCGTGTGCAGGTGGGAACACCTGCAGTTGGCCTCGGAGCCACCGCTGGATTCGCCTCGCTTCCATCTTCTCCTCCAACCTTCGCTGATGGACGATGTACTGGTGAGAGCACCCGCAGCGGTGGCGCCAGCGAAACGTCTCCAGACAACGCTTTCGCGCGCCCCCGCCGCTGGGCCTAGGTCACATCGCCCACTGATGTGTCTGCATCCGGGCATGTGCGTGTCATAGAGAATCGCACTGGGTGGACATCACATCGAAGGGCTCCAGCAGGGTATCGCATTTGTTCTCCCACTCGGGACGACAGCCGTAGCCCTTCACAGAGGCGTTCACGGCGCAGTTCCCTGCCACGCGATATGGTATCGCGTGCCTCTTCCTCCGCCAAGGATTTGGCTGAGCTCCGAGACCAGGTAGAAACTTACACGACCCAACAATTGGGTCTGGCCGTGCAGACGGCCACCTTCAGGCATGAGTTTCATCAAGCTCCTTGGTCGACGCTCGGATCGCTGAAGATCGATCGATCCTCACCCAAGTCCACCAGTATCAGGTTGACCAGATGGAGTCACACCGAGGTTCCGACTCCAGCACAATCCAGACGCTCTACGATTACCTCCTTCGGATAGAGGCCCAACTTGTGAGCGTCAAGGACACAGGCACTGCCGCCATTAGGACGGTCCACGATGAGCTCCTGACGGCGCGGCAGATCACAGCTATGGAAGTGAATGGACCTACGGGTCAACAGTGACGCCAGGGCCCTAATACACTTCGTATTCAGGTTGAGATGACCACTGCCACAGTACACTCCCAACATACCACACTCACGTCTGAGTTGCACGGCAAGCTG